TTTCATGTAGCTGAGCCTATTTGTAATGCCACATTTTAATAAAGAATACGCATTGGAAGTTGTCTCTGATTCGAATACTGTTAAAATTATCAACTTATCACTTAGTTAACATCTTTTGGTGTTTTATTGCTTGTCGGCTCCGTAAACGATTTCCTAATTTGACAAGATTAAGAGTTCTTCGTTCAGTTGACTTCCTTAATCATAAAATTATTTTGTTATAAACTACTGCTTCAGTTTGACTGTACAATCTCTATTCGCCAATCAGATTGTATTTCAGGCAGTCGAAATGGCAAAATTTTGAAAATGATAATTTTTTGATTCCGATCCACGTAGTTACAATGAATTAATTGGATCAGGAAAATGAATAAAATTCGTCACGTTACGATATCCAACAATCACACAAAGCTTAAATTGCTGGAACAAATAATAGCCCCTTATAGGGCTTCCAAAAAATATGTTAACAATCATAAATACTCTCCTGCACGGAAATCTTTAGTAAAAGGCGAAAGATTTTCTCGGTCAAATGCAGGAGAGCAAGACAAACAAACACATCACTGAATCAATGTTATAGCCAATTTCGCAAGGATTTTGCAGTGGTTCAGTAGGCGAAAGAGACGAATAGAGAAAAGTATTCTCAGTTGCGATACGGTTGAGTGTGATAGCGGAGTTCCATTCATTCGAGGGTGCATTTAGTTGCATTAACAATTAGTTCTCTTACTCTTGATGTCGTTGCAAGTGATGCATCGAAAGAGAAAAAGAGCATGCTCTTTATACATCTGCTAGAGAATTGCAAAACCTATCAGAAGTTTGCTGCAGCGTGAACTATTATACAATAGCAATGGGATTGCAGTATCGCTTCTCGGCCTATTGGCTAAGATCAAAGTGTAGTATCTGTTCTTATCAGCTTAATCTCTGATATGTGGTCAATCGATCACTTCGAGATTATCCTATTTTTGAGACCATGGTGGGTTTGAAGGGGCTTGCTCCTCACCTACCGCGGGTCGACCCGGTATTGCACCTACCTCCGGGAACGGCCCATTCACCCTTTGGGGTGAAAGTTGGATTACTGAAGACGCTAGGATAATTAATGTGTGGTAAACATTCACTATACACAGTAACTCTGTTTCATCCAACGTCACATAAGAGACTGCCCAATGTATCTTTTCAAATGTCAAGATTAAGACAAATAAAATTTGAATTGTTAATTAATCAATAGTATGCATATATAAAATGTACCATTATATATATATATATATATGAGTCCTTTAGATCGTTTATAGATGGTAAAAATATGCGCAACTTTGCTTGCTGATTTTTAACCTAACAAACAAGAGTATAATCAAAATGTTTTTGTTAAGATTCACTAAATGGTCATATTAACATGAACATCATGTTCAATAAGACAATCTTTACTCTAATGTTGCTATAATATTATAACTCGCTTTTCAATTAGAAAAGCATTTGCCTAAGGATTATTCAAGTAAGACAAGTTGTGCTGATTTAATAAAAGTTTGCTTCGATATGTTATATTGGGATTTACCGACAATGCCAAAAAAAAAAGCGAAACGAAAAGATTATCATCCCGTTATAGATCACGATTGGCGCGATTAGGGAGTATTATTAACAATCGGGAGTATTATTCCTTGTACCAGAATGAAACGCTAAGATGCTGTATATTGTGGTAAAATAGAGACTAACATAATATTTAGGATTTCTCAGTCCACATTGAGGCATCGTGAATGAAATCATGCAACTATTAAAGCATAATGTTATTGTCTTTGATGGTTGCCCATATAATTATTCATTATATAAATTTGCTTCATTCTAGACATCAAAAAGATGTATAAATTTATATATACCCGTTGGTACACATAAAATTATATATATATAAAAAATTACTTCTGCTATTTAATACATGATCTGCTTATATCAAAATCATCGCCAATTCAGATAATAGTTGCAGTTGTAAAAAAAAAAAAAAAAAACGTGATGAAAGAAAGTGGCGACAGTAAACGAACTGGTGAAATATGCATTGTATGTCTAAATCTCAATTAAATAACATTTGAAGAATTATTAAAAAAATAACACAGGTTTTGTTTAAAATGCTTGAAAATATCTACTGAAGTATCAATCAGCGGTTTCTTCGCTCAAATGACTTTTTATATCTACCAAATTTGGTAGACTTGCGCCTTGCACTTGAACAACCATAATTTATAATATTGCTCGAAAAACCATGCATATAAGATGAAAAAATAATAAATTATTATAAATATCCAGCTCACTATTATAACTTGGTTTATTTAATACGCTATGATCCAAAAATTCAATAGAAAATCAATCAACAAAGTTCAATATATATTTTTCATCAGTATATATCAAATATATAGAGCATTTACATTTTCGGAATGCCTTTGAAAATGGTTAGATTTGAATGATGAATCTGTGAAATATCCTGCTGTTTATTAAAATCTCAATTAAGTAATGTTTGAAGAATTGTTAAAAGTTTGTACCAGGAAATTTTCCTTACCATTCCCTTCCTCATCAAAATGTGAGAAAAGTAATTCTATAATTAAAATATGAAATGTAAAAGCATAAAATTGATTATTCAAAAATACTTTCCCTTTCTAAGATGTTACCTAAAGTTCAATAAATTTGTCGCAATTGCCAATCATTTATTAAAAATTCCTTTGCAGTAATCATGATATCATTTCCCGGATGACTGGACATTGGTTATTTTTCTTTCAATGAGCTAGCTCTTCCTCTGTCCGTGTTATATTTCTGTTTCTCTACTCATTGGGTAACGTTTTGGAATAAACGCTATAAACGTTATTATGATTCATAATGCAAAACATCGATGCAAATTGTGATCTTTTGTTTTATTTGCGTATTTTGCTCCGTTCGCGCATTTAAGAAATGATATAGCTTTAAATGCAAATGTCTTGCTATTGGCTTATATTCGGAAATATTTTGAGGGTGAATTAGTTCTCATCGAGGTCAGGAGAATTTAAAGATTTGTGAAATTATCTAAAAACACAAGTAGGAATATTTTGTTACAGATGTGTGCCTTACTTCCTTTTCAAATTGCAAATATTTTTCTTCCAAATTTTTTAATGCTTAAAATATTAAAATATAAAAATATATATATTTTTAAGATTTGGTCGTGTGATTATTGCTCAAATTATTAATGCTCATGTGAATCTTAACAAAAACATTTTGATTATACTCTTGTTTGTTAGGTTAAAAATCAGCAAGCAAAGTTGCGCATATTTTTACCATCTATAAACGATCTAAAGGACTCATATATATATATATATAATGGTACATTTTATATATGCATACTATTGATTAATTAACAATTCAAATTTTATTTGTCTTAATCTTGACATTTGAAAAGATACATTGGGCAGTCTCTTATGTGACGTTGGATGAAACAGAGTTACTGTGTATAGTGAATGTTTACCACACATTAATTATCCTAGCGTCTTCAGTAATCCAACTTTCACCCCAAAGGGTGAATGGGCCGTTCCCGGAGGTAGGTGCAATACCGGGTCGACCCGCGGTAGGTGAGGAGCAAGCCCCTTCAAACCCACCATGGTCTCAAAAATAGGATAATCTCGAAGTGATCGATTGACCACATATCAGAGATTAAGCTGATAAGAACAGATACTACACTTTGATCTTAGCCAATAGGCCGAGAAGCGATACTGCAATCCCATTGCTATTGTATAATAGTTCACGCTGCAGCAAACTTCTGATAGGTTTTGCAATTCTCTAGCAGACGTATAAAGAGCATGCTCTTTTTCTCTTTCGATGCATCACTTGCAACGACATCAAGAGTAAGAGAACTAATTGTTAATGCAACTAAATGCACCCTCGAATGAATGGAACTCCGCTATCACACTCAACCGTATCGCAACTGAGAATACTTTTCTCTATTCGTCTCTTTCGCCTACTGAACCACTGCAAAATCCTTGCGAAATTGGCTATAACATTGATTCAGTGATGTGTTTGTTTGTCTTGCTCTCCTGCATTTGACCGAGAAAATCTTTCGCCTTTTACTAAAGATTTCCGTGCAGGAGAGTATTTATGATTGTTAACATATTTTTTGGAAGCCCTATAAGGGGCTATTATTTGTTCCAGCAATTTAAGCTTTGTGTGATTGTTGGATATCGTAACGTGACGAATTTTATTCATTTTCCTGATCCAATTAATTCATTGTAACTACGTGGATCGGAATCAAAAAATTATCATTTTCAAAATTTTGCCATTTCGACTGCCTGAAATACAATCTGATTGGCGAATAGAGATTGTACAGTCAAACTGAAGCAGTAGTTTATAACAAAATAATTTTATGATTAAGGAAGTCAACTGAACGAAGAACTCTTAATCTTGTCAAATTAGGAAATCGTTTACGGAGCCGACAAGCAATAAAACACCAAAAGATGTTAACTAAGTGATAAGTTGATAATTTTAACAGTATTCGAATCAGAGACAACTTCCAATGCGTATTCTTTATTAAAATGTGGCATTACAAATAGGCTCAGCTACATGAAACATGAAAGTCGGATAAACGATTTCTTACGTGAGATTGGAGCTTTTTTAATTTAATGGATTTAATACAATTTTACCTCTACGAATATGTATATGTACATAATAACATGGTTATGTCGAGCAAAAATAATATCTATAATCAATGCATCAGTATTACCAATAAGTGGAATTGCTTGAAGTTTCCATGATGATCCAGTTGTCGAGAGAAAATTTGTATGTTTTTGCTATTCTCGTAATTGCACAATATCGACACTTTAATTAAATATCAAATATCAAAAGTGTTTTCTTTTTGTGTGACACTTCCACATTTTAGCAATTATTACTAATTGTATCAGACTTTCAAAATTTATGAAACTGTTTCAAGTCAATATTTTATTGAGCACTTGCTACATAGTTAAATCTTTCGTTCATGAAATCAATTAACCCGCTTACCGAATCATAAATACAATTTAAAGTGATTTGTCGGTGATGGAATAAATAATCTGCTTCTGCCCGTGCCTTCTTAAATTTTTCGCGTTTGCAGCTTTTTCCTTCTCCTCCTTTTTTCGCTCTTTTCGACGCTTCTCCTCCAGAATGCATTCGCAGTGCAAAGGCACGATTGCAGAGCGGTAGGTGCTGATGCGGATAGGAGAAGGCATCGGCTGCATGAGGTGTCGGTTTCTCGGACGCACATTTCGGTTGGTTGTCCGATTCAGCCGGTACAACCTTAGAAGGCCATTTGTCTCGTCTACCCAGCTCATCCTGAAAGATTTGTATTCATTTTTCGACTATTATTTAAACGCAAATTATTTTTTATTGAATTAGAGGGCTGATAACTTTTTTTCGGGTTGCAAACTTTGTCCGTGAAAAAATGAAGAGAAATTTTCACCAAATTTTTTAATAAAATCCTCACCTCGAATTTATTTCCAAGTCCCCGATAGTGTGATTAAACGATTTTTGTACGCAAGTGGTTTTTTTGCACTTGTGATCTTAAACATCAAAGAATATTACTCGATTCAAGTGGATTTCTCTTCTCATACAAAAATTCATTCTCATTTTTAGGTTACTATTGAAATGGATATATTTTTCAATCTCTAATGCTATATTTGTTGTTATTAATGAATTTCTTTTTAAATGTTCTCAGTGAATAATTCAAGCGAGCAAGATGCGATGTTTCGATGATATTGCAAGCAACCGATGTATTATTTCAATTACAATCAAAAACTGATTGCCCTGATCTCACTTGTTTCCCCAGTAGAGAACCATTATCCTTACCGCTCATTGCAGCAGTTCTAATTGAAATGATTAACTTAGAATTTTCATCACCTTTTACACATTCGTAATCGGACACATGATGTCATTTAAATATTTAAAAATGATCAGATATTTGCAAAGATTTTTTTTTTTAAATATTTTTAAATATTTCACAGTAGAGAATACCGTATAGTATAGTGGAAATTACTTCAATTAAAGAAAAATGCTTTTATGCGCCTTTTTTATAAACTATGTTATTACCATTATTATCATTATTATTATAACAATTATTATCACTACGATTATTACTATGATTATTATTTTATTATTATTATTATTATTACTATTATTATTGCTATTATTATTATTTTTTTGACTCTTCTTTTTCTTCCTATTATTATTATGCTCTTTTTTTGTTTTCAAATAAATAAAACTAAACTGTTTTTGCAATAATTCATATAAATACAATTAATTAGATTTCAATACGTATTATGGGATAAATGATTTTTTTAGATTTAATAACGATAAAAACAATAACAACAACAAAAGAAATTATTTAAAAATTTTCACAGCTTTTTTTTCTTACATCGAACTTTTATTATATAAAGAGTAAAGGTCATCAAAAAGTGGCAACTTCTTACTATCTATTGACTTCCGATTTATCTATTGATCTATCTGTCTATTGATTTCTCGCACTTTGACATTTATCTCCAGATATGTATTTCATTTATAAGCTTAAACTCACAGAATCGTAGAAAAGGCAAATCAAAATGAAACGTGGAAAGTGGCAAAAAACATCAAAACATAAGATTTTAACCATACACCTGTTAAAGGTCAATGTCAAACTCAACCAGTTCTATAATATGTCGAAATACTCGCGTAGATTTGTATTAAGTCCATATGTAGAAATTTATAAATAAAATTTAAAATTTTTAACATGGTAAAGCGTGGTAAACATATAATGAGTATGTTCAGATTTTAGGATTTTTATTATTCCGTGTAAAATCAGACTAATTATTGAAATAATACATCGGTTGTTTGCAATATCATCGAAACATCGCATTTAAAAAGAAATTCATTAATAACAACAAATATAGCATTAGAGATTGAAAAATATATCCATTTCAATAGTAACCTAAAAATGAGAATGAATTTTTGTATGAGAAGAGAAATCCACTTGAATCGAGTAATATTCTTTGATGTTTAAGATCACAAGTGCAAAAAAACCACTTGCGTACAAAAATCGTTTAATCACACTATCGGGGACTTGGAAATAAATTCGAGGTGAGGATTTTATTAAAAAATTTGGTGAAAATTTCTCTTCATTTTTTCACGGACAAAGTTTGCAACCCGAAAAAAAGTTATCAGCCCTCTAATTCAATAAAAAATAATTTGCGTTTAAATAATAGTCGAAAAATGAATACAAATCTTTCAGGATGAGCTGGGTAGACGAGACAAATGGCCTTCTAAGGTTGTACCGGCTGAATCGGACAACCAACCGAAATGTGCGTCCGAGAAACCGACACCTCATGCAGCCGATGCCTTCTCCTATCCGCATCAGCACCTACCGCTCTGCAATCGTGCCTTTGCACTGCGAATGCATTCTGGAGGAGAAGCGTCGAAAAGAGCGAAAAAAGGAGGAGAAGGAAAAAGCTGCAAACGCGAAAAATTTAAGAAGGCACGGGCAGAAGCAGATTATTTATTCCATCACCGACAAATCACTTTAAATTGTATTTATGATTCGGTAAGCGGGTTAATTGATTTCATGAACGAAAGATTTAACTATGTAGCAAGTGCTCAATAAAATATTGACTTGAAACAGTTTCATAAATTTTGAAAGTCTGATACAATTAGTAATAATTGCTAAAATGTGGAAGTGTCACACAAAAAGAAAACACTTTTGATATTTGATATTTAATTAAAGTGTCGATATTGTGCAATTACGAGAATAGCAAAAACATACAAATTTTCTCTCGACAACTGGATCATCATGGAAACTTCAAGCAATTCCACTTATTGGTAATACTGATGCATTGATTATAGATATTATTTTTGCTCGACATAACCATGTTATTATGTACATATACATATTCGTAGAGGTAAAATTGTATTAAATCCATTAAATTAAAAAAGCTCCAATCTCACGTAAGAAATCGTTTATCCGACTTTCATGTTTCATGTAGCTGAGCCTATTTGTAATGCCACATTTTAATAAAGAATACGCATTGGAAGTTGTCTCTGATTCGAATACTGTTAAAATTATCAACTTATCACTTAGTTAACATCTTTTGGTGTTTTATTGCTTGTCGGCTCCGTAAACGATTTCCTAATTTGACAAGATTAAGAGTTCTTCGTTCAGTTGACTTCCTTAATCATAAAATTATTTTGTTATAAACTACTGCTTCAGTTTGACTGTACAATCTCTATTCGCCAATCAGATTGTATTTCAGGCAGTCGAAATGGCAAAATTTTGAAAATGATAATTTTTTGATTCCGATCCACGTAGTTACAATGAATTAATTGGATCAGGAAAATGAATAAAATTCGTCACGTTACGATATCCAACAATCACACAAAGCTTAAATTGCTGGAACAAATAATAGCCCCTTATAGGGCTTCCAAAAAATATGTTAACAATCATAAATACTCTCCTGCACGGAAATCTTTAGTAAAAGGCGAAAGATTTTCTCGGTCAAATGCAGGAGAGCAAGACAAACAAACACATCACTGAATCAATGTTATAGCCAATTTCGCAAGGATTTTGCAGTGGTTCAGTAGGCGAAAGAGACGAATAGAGAAAAGTATTCTCAGTTGCGATACGGTTGAGTGTGATAGCGGAGTTCCATTCATTCGAGGGTGCATTTAGTTGCATTAACAATTAGTTCTCTTACTCTTGATGTCGTTGCAAGTGATGCATCGAAAGAGAAAAAGAGCATGCTCTTTATACGTCTGCTAGAGAATTGCAAAACCTATCAGAAGTTTGCTGCAGCGTGAACTATTATACAATAGCAATGGGATTGCAGTATCGCTTCTCGGCCTATTGGCTAAGATCAAAGTGTAGTATCTGTTCTTATCAGCTTAATCTCTGATATGTGGTCAATCGATCACTTCGAGATTATCCTATTTTTGAGACCATGGTGGGTTTGAAGGGGCTTGCTCCTCACCTACCGCGGGTCGACCCGGTATTGCACCTACCTCCGGGAACGGCCCATTCACCCTTTGGGGTGAAAGTTGGATTACTGAAGACGCTAGGATAATTAATGTGTGGTAAACATTCACTATACACAGTAACTCTGTTTCATCCAACGTCACATAAGAGACTGCCCAATGTATCTTTTCAAATGTCAAGATTAAGACAAATAAAATTTGAATTGTTAATTAATCAATAGTATGCATATATAAAATGTACCATTATATATATATATATATGAGTCCTTTAGATCGTTTATAGATGGTAAAAATATGCGCAACTTTGCTTGCTGATTTTTAACCTAACAAACAAGAGTATAATCAAAATGTTTTTGTTAAGATTCACATGAGCATTAATAATTTGAGCAATAATCACACGACCAAATCTTAAAAAATATATATATTTTTATATTTTAATATTTTAAGCATTAAAAAATTTGGAAGAAAAATATTTGCAATTTGAAAAGGAAGTAAGGCACACATCTGTAACAAAATATTCCTACTTGTGTTTTTAGATAATTTCACAAATCTTTAAATTCTCCTGACCTCGATGAGAACTAATTCACCCTCAAAATATTTCCGAATATAAGCCAATAGCAAGACATTTGCATTTAAAGCTATATCATTTCTTAAATGCGCGAACGGAGCAAAATACGCAAATAAAACAAAAGATCACAATTTGCATCGATGTTTTGCATTATGAATCATAATAACGTTTATAGCGTTTATTCCAAAACGTTACCCAATGAGTAGAGAAACAGAAATATAACACGGACAGAGGAAGAGCTAGCTCATTGAAAGAAAAATAACCAATGTCCAGTCATCCGGGAAATGATATCATGATTACTGCAAAGGAATTTTTAATAAATGATTGGCAATTGCGACAAATTTATTGAACTTTAGGTAACATCTTAGAAAGGGAAAGTATTTTTGAATAATCAATTTTATGCTTTTACATTTCATATTTTAATTATAGAATTACTTTTCTCACATTTTGATGAGGAAGGGAATGGTAAGGAAAATTTCCTGGTACAAACTTTTAACAATTCTTCAAACATTACTTAATTGAGATTTTAATAAACAGCAGGATATTTCACAGATTCATCATTCAAATCTAACCATTTTCAAAGGCATTCCGAAAATGTAAATGCTCTATATATTTGATATATACTGATGAAAAATATATATTGAACTTTGTTGATTGATTTTCTATTGAATTTTTGGATCATAGCGTATTAAATAAACCAAGTTATAATAGTGAGCTGGATATTTATAATAATTTATTATTTTTTCATCTTATATGCATGGTTTTTCGAGCAATATTATAAATTATGGTTGTTCAAGTGCAAGGCGCAAGTCTACCAAATTTGGTAGATATAAAAAGTCATTTGAGCGAAGAAACCGCTGATTGATACTTCAGTAGATATTTTCAAGCATTTTAAACAAAACCTGTGTTATTTTTTAATAATTCTTCAAATGTTATTTAATTGAGATTTAGACATACAATGCATATTTCACCAGTTCGTTTACTGTCGCCACTTTCTTTCATCACGTTTTTTTTTTTTTTTTTTACAACTGCAACTATTATCTGAATTGGCGATGATTTTGATATAAGCAGATCATGTATTAAATAGCAGAAGTAATTTTTATATATATATAATTTTATGTGTACCAACGGGTATATATAAATTTATACATCTTTTTGATGTCTAGAATGAAGCAAATTTATATAATGAATAATTATATGGGCAACCATCAAAGACAATAACATTATGCTTTAATAGTTGCATGATTTCATTCACGATGCCTCAATGTGGACTGAGAAATCCTAAATATTATGTTAGTCTCTATTTTACCACAATATACAGCATCTTAGCGTTTCATTCTGGTACAAGGAATAATACTCCCGATTGTTAATAATACTCCCTAATCGCGCCAATCGTGATCTATAACGGGATGATAATCTTTTCGTTTCGCTTTTTTTTTTGGCATTGTCGGTAAATCCCAATATAACATATCGAAGCAAACTTTTATTAAATCAGCACAACTTGTCTTACTTGAATAATCCTTAGGCAAATGCTTTTCTAATTGAAAAGCGAGTTATAATATTATAGCAACATTAGAGTAAAGATTGTCTTATTGAACATGATGTTCATGTTAATATGACCATTTAGTGAATCTTAACAAAAACATTTTGATTATACTCTTGTTTGTTAGGTTAAAAATCAGCAAGCAAAGTTGCGCATATTTTTACCATCTATAAACGATCTAAAGGACTCATATATATATATATATATAATGGTACATTTTATATATGCATACTATTGATTAATTAACAATTCAAATTTTATTTGTCTTAATCTTGACATTTGAAAAGATACATTGGGCAGTCTCTTATGTGACGTTGGATGAAACAGAGTTACTGTGTATAGTGAATGTTTACCACACATTAATTATCCTAGCGTCTTCAGTAATCCAACTTTCACCCCAAAGGGTGAATGGGCCGTTCCCGGAGGTAGGTGCAATACCGGGTCGACCCGCGGTAGGTGAGGAGCAAGCCCCTTCAAACCCACCATGGTCTCAAAAATAGGATAATCTCGAAGTGATCGATTGACCACATATCAGAGATTAAGCTGATAAGAACAGATACTACACTTTGATCTTAGCCAATAGGCCGAGAAGCGATACTGCAATCCCATTGCTATTGTATAATAGTTCACGCTGCAGCAAACTTCTGATAGGTTTTGCAATTCTCTAGCAGATGTATAAAGAGCATGCTCTTTTTCTCTTTCGATGCATCACTTGCAACGACATCAAGAGTAAGAGAACTAATTGTTAATGCAACTAAATGCACCCTCGAATGAATGGAACTCCGCTATCACACTCAACCGTATCGCAACTGAGAATACTTTTCTCTATTCGTCTCTTTCGCCTACTGAACCACTGCAAAATCCTTGCGAAATTGGCTATAACATTGATTCAGTGATGTGTTTGTTTGTCTTGCTCTCCTGCATTTGACCGAGAAAATCTTTCGCCTTTTACTAAAGATTTCCGTGCAGGAGAGTATTTATGATTGTTAACATATTTTTTGGAAGCCCTATAAGGGGCTATTATTTGTTCCAGCAATTTAAGCTTTGTGTGATTGTTGGATATCGTAACGTGACGAATTTTATTCATTTTCCTGATCCAATTAATTCATTGTAACTACGTGGATCGGAATCAAAAAATTATCATTTTCAAAATTTTGCCATTTCGACTGCCTGAAATACAATCTGATTGGCGAATAGAGATTGTACAGTCAAACTGAAGCAGTAGTTTATAACAAAATAATTTTATGATTAAGGAAGTCAACTGAACGAAGAACTCTTAATCTTGTCAAATTAGGAAATCGTTTACGGAGCCGACAAGCAATAAAACACCAAAAGATGTTAACTAAGTGATAAGTTGATAATTTTAACAGTATTCGAATCGGAAACAACTAGCAGTGATTCTTGTTTGTAACGACAGCACTACTCGTGTGATAAGTGTAGTGGATTAGGGTGTGAGGAGGCAATACTGATGGAAGCGTTCATGAGTTGCAGATAATGGTGAGGTTGATATCTACAATTTAGATTTGTATATGAGAGTAGGCACTATAAATGTCTTTGTAGTGTTTTTTTATATTTCCTAAATGTTCTGGGATGCGTTTGCTACTCTTTTGTCAATCTCTATTGCTCCTGATGCTAATAGATGAACTATACTTCACGTCATTGATTATTCAGAAAGACCTAGAGAAAAATTTTTTCATATCTGATTTATTGCGCTGATCCTTATGCAAAATAGCAATGAACTTGGGTAACTTAGGAGACATCCTAATCACTTCCCGTAAATCTTTTCTGCTATGTCAAAGTGAACGAATGTCATCTAAAGTCCTTTATTATATTTCCACAATTTCTTCCAGATATCTGAGAACGAATAATAGATATACTTCTATTAACTGTAAAACACATTAGCTGTCATATAGAAATACTTTTGCAATGATACCAGCCTATTTAAAAATATTCTTGGAAGTATTTTAGCTATAAAAAGCAAAATAATTTGATCTGATTTTTCTCAGATGATAATGACTGCATCATCATGACTTTTCATACATTAAATACGTGCTTTTGTTGCATCTGAAAATGCATTTGAAAATGCGTAATATATGTTTCCAGATTTCAGATGGAATTCCATCAAGCTCAGAAATGGAGTTATGTCCAACTCAGCTTCAGTTATTGTTGAGTGATGTGTTGAGTAGCTGAGTCTTTAAATGAACGTTGAGCAATCGGTTGAGAATGGAAGATTTATCTGTGAGAAAGAAATGGATCTGAGCTAAGAAGAGGACTGTGAACCTGATATGTTGGTCCATAAAGCTTCTTTCAAAGCCTTGCAGTGCTCTCTATGCTTGTTGACATTTGCGCATGATTAATGGATTAGTCTATCACTTGTTCCTCATATCCTAAAGCTTCTGTTGAAGCATATGCATGCAAGACGAAGAGGATGGATTAGCGAGATGTGTTTAATAATCAGTTTTCTTCTTGAGTAATAGTTCCTGGATGAGCAAATTATTTTCATCAAACCAATTTCTGGATTTCTTTTCTGGAAATCCTAAATATTTGCTGGATGCTATTTTGATGAGCTGCTGATTTATGGAAGAAACCTATACTATAGTTTGCAAGTCAGTTTGAAGGTTAGCCTGGAAGTTGTTTCTTACTATAGCAACTTTGAGATTGTTCATTTTGATCTTCTTCTTTTTGTTTAGAATATCATCCCTTTTGACTTCAAATTGGAGGTGCATCGTAAAAATAATTGTTTATTGTCATTTTACACTTTTCATTTCGGGTATAACGAACATTGCGAGTGCATCTTTGTCTTTACCAAGATATAATCGATGAGGTATAACTGTTTGGGTCGAAGATGAATCTATTCAGGACCTTGGATGTATTTTTTAGATATTCTGTTGAATGAGATGTTTGTGATCATGACTGCAGCTCACGTTCTATGGAGAAGAGCAACTCAAGTGTATTCCTCCTAGAACTCCAATAGGAGTAGATCACTGTCACTGCAGCTTCCAACACCATATTTATCTGGTACTTCTCAGAGTACTTTTCTACTCTGGCACTGTGGTTATTAAGAGTTGTAATATAGAAACTTTCGATTAAGACGAAAGAAGCTGGTGTAGAACTTGGTTTTTTTTCTCCAGGATCAGCTTGAAAAGTTTATGAAATACCAAAAAAGAAACATCTTGTGAAAGGCATGGAGATAATGCGATCAGAACAACCTGTCGAAAGTTAACAAGTTTGGAAGTAATTGAATTCTTATTTATAAAGCTAACTTTTGCTTTCGGGAACGTTTAATTTTCGATATACCTTGCCGGAAGAGGGTGTAGCCGGAACACTTTCTTTGAGAATATACAAATTTCACTGAGAGCAGTAATGTCAATGTTGAGTCGTGACAATTCGTGGGCCATCAAAGCAGAATTATGCTCGAACATTATTAACAGTATCAAGCATTGTTTTATAATAGTCAATTCGAACCTTGATTTTCTGCTTTAGTTCGAGCAAGTAGATGTCTGCTAACTGCGGTTAGCCAGCAAAGAGAATGTAAATAAACTTTGTTAGGCCACTTTTTTAGGCCTTTTTCCTGTGGAACAAGTATTATTCACCTCCACACCCTTCTTAGTGAAAAATGAACCCTCATGCTTTTTGGGTTTTGGTTAACTTACTTTTACATGACACTTGAAAACCGTGAAATATTTCAAAAAATTGAATAACAAGTTCTATGTCTTCAATTACATTAACAAATTGTTTGTGACCTTTCCTCAATTCCTTTTTTTTTTTTTTTGCAAGTCAATTGAACTATCTGCCAAGTTAGCATACAAATTCAATAACATTCATTCAATATTTGACACCCAAACAGAACCTTTAAAGCATCAATAATAATACATATACGTTCACGTGCCGAGACAAGCGTTGCATATTAACCAGGCAGTGTAATATACTGATGCTTAGGGCGTCGCATACAAATTTTGTGTGCCCACACAGCGAGAAGGATTGTGAAGGTAGTGGTGAGGTGGTGGGATAGGGATTGGTCTTAGGTAAATGTTGAGTAATTTCAGTGTGAATGGTAGCTTTGAATATGCAAGGAAAGGATTGTTATAATCGCTTTTGGGGATTGAAGAAGCTCTCACTGATATTCACTAGATAATTTGGTGCATCTCAGCGAAGTCGTCTCCATTAGATATTATCTATCGGGCATAAATAAGTTTATGATAGATACCTTTACAGCATTAGATTTATTGTAAGATATCAGAATTAAACATCGTATTCTTAGTGGCAATGTTGAATTTTCATTAGATCATACTGAACTGGCACAGGGCCAGAAAAGATCAATGTTGGTCGAGTCATATTTAAAATAGTTTGGTTGAACGCAGACAAGATTGCAAATGCTTCTGTTTTCCGTGTATTAGGTTTAGCGCAGTAATACGTAAAGTAATAGTGAGATATAAGCATAGGGCAAATGAAGTAAAAAGAAGTATAGTTTTCTGCTAATGGGTTGTCATGAACGAAAATAAAGTACGGATGTATTGTGAGAGGTTTTTTTTTTGTTCCACTTATGTTTGGGTTTTGCAGGAGTATATTGATAGAATATTATCAACTATACTTGCAGTAAAAGCTCTTTGCTAGCAAAAAAAAAAATTTCAGATGGCAGCAGTAACCCAAAATGGTACTATCGATGGTAGTGATTATAAGAGGCCAGCTTACAATGAAATGACTAGCAAAGATTACTATTTCGACTCATATGCCCACTTTGGAATACACGAAGTTTGTGGTTCAACTGTTTTACAGTTGGAAAAATTTTATGAATTACCATTAAAGTTTCTTTATAGGTCATTATTGCAAGATTTAAAATTATTACATTCTCGATATTATAGTTTTTTCATGAAAAAATTGTCTGGAATGGTGCGATATAAAGAATATTATCAAAGAGCTTAGATAATAATGAATGTTGAATACATTTTTACTGATAAATTTTTTTAATATATAGGAAATGCTGAAAGATGAAGTAAGGACGATTACGTATCGGAATGCTATTTATCACAATAAGCACTTGTTTAAAGACAAGGTGGTCATGGATGTTGGCTCAGGGACGGGTATCTTGTCTATGTTTGCAGCTAAGGCTGGTGCCAGGAGAGTTATTGCAGTAAGCTTCTTCAATTATTAAAACATTTTTCCATCTTCCTGGAAGTTGTAAATATTTGAAGTGAGAATGATTCGAACAAAATAGTTTTTCGAAGGGAATGTTAGGATTAGTGACAATTTCTCAATTTCGTTTTCCTGTTTAAAACTAAGAAATATTTTGGTTTTTCTATCTGAACACATTAGACTGTATAAATCACGAAACTTCCTTCTTTTTACTATTAGTAAGCTTAAGAGTTAGGAGTTATAAGGCTTGGAGAAAGTTATTACTAAGTTCATCAGATTAAATAGTCAGATTTGCTGTTATATATTTTGTAGATTGAATTCTCGAATATGGCTACACAATCAAAACAGATTGTGAAAGATAATGATTTGGAAAATATTATTGAAGTTATTCACGGAAAAGTTGAAGATGTGAAAGAATTGCCCGATGGCATTGAAAAGGTTTTGTTTTTTTGAATTATAAAATATGTGGTTTTTTCGCTTCTCCAAAATTCTTTTCCATGTATTTCTATGTTGGTTCTTCAAAATAGCGTTCACATTGCAACTTCAAGTGAAAAGTGCTGAGAGAGTACTATGAATGAAGGATGCACCTACAAATTTTCTGCAACATCTTTATTCATTATGACAGGTTGATGTTATTATATCCGAATGGATGGGTTACTGCTTATTCTACGAATCGATGCTGAATACAGTGATTTATGCTCGTGATAAATGGTTGAAATCGGATGGTGCCCTTTTTCCAGATAAAGCGAAGCTCTTCTTGTGTGCTATTGAAGATCGGCAATATAAAGAGGATAAAATCAATTGGTATATAAATATTTAGTAAATTACTGCGTTTAATAAGTGGGTCATATTAATCAAGTTTGGCTTTTATTATTGTTACGTAAGTGAAAATTATATGGGTTGTTCTATTGTAGGTGGGATAATGTTTATGGTTTTAATATGTCGAGTATTCGTCGTGTAGCCATCACAGAACCATTAGTAGATGTTGTTGATCACGCTCAAGTTGTTACCAACAACTGCTTGATTTGTGTAAGTTCTCTCTCCGTTTACTTATATTTATTGTAACTTCAATTACTTGAAAAAGTTTTAGTTGATATGGGTTAACAATATCATTTGGTTTTTCTCAAAGTAATATACAGTAAGGTTTTTGTTTTTTTCTTTTTTTTTTACATACAATAAGAGTTTTTTTAGTAACTTGCAACAAAAATTGCGGGGAATTTTTCATTTCCAGTATTGTGAGCACAAACATTCGGTGGTGTTGTAATGAATAAGGTTGTTTCTATTGATTATTGTGCAGCAAAGATTGTTTAGTAACATATCGCTAGCCATAAAGAACTATATAAAAAAAATTAATTATCTTAAGTGTCTTCAGAAATAACATGGCAGTCGTGATTGAACTGCAAATATGTTTTGTTATATTTTGTTATATTAACGGTTTCTTGATCTTTTAGAGTTTCATGCATAAGTATTTAATAAATAAGCTTAAAGTTTTTAGGATGTCGATTTGTATACCGTTAAAGTGGAAGACCTAACGTGGACAAATAATTTCTCCCTACGAATAACAAGAAATGATTATGTCCAAGCGCTGGTCACATTCTTCACAGTTGAATTTTCCAAATGCCATAAGCGGACCGGTTTTTCAACCGGGCCCGACTGTCAGTATACTCATTGGAAACAAACAGTATTTTATTTACAGGTCGATTAATACTTGAAATATGAACAATTTTTCACCTTTTTTCGTTCAATTAACTTTAACTTCTCACTTTATTTCCTTTTTTTAGTATATGCCCACAAACACTAATACTGAGAAGCTCTAATTAACTTTCGATCAATAGTGCTAAAGTATGCTTATTTGCTATGATTTTCAGGATGCACTAACCTGTAAGAAGAACGAAGAGATTACAGGAACGTTTTCAATAGCACCAAATGCTCGAAATGAGAGAGATTTAGATTTCAAAATCTCTGTTAAATTTCATGGTGATGTATGCGATGTGGAAGAGGAAAATACCTACACCATGCATTGATGCTGTTGCTTTAAAATTTTCCATTTTTACAGTTGATGTTCTGAACTTTTTCATAAGTTTTGATTTTGTTGAAATATTGAAAGGAATGTCTCGTGCAGGCTTTGCGAGTTTTGTTCCTTTTTTTCTGTTCTCAAGATCCGGATTTCCGGTGCTGCTTTTCGAAATTTTCTCAAGAGACTTCTAATAGTGCAGGCAGTTTCTGAAATTTTAGCAGCTCGTTTTTCTTAGTGTGACGTTATACATGACTCATTCCTGAAGAACTTATACCATTTAATTAAATGCCCCAAATTCTGCGGATTTGTTTTCGTTTTCATTTTTCTCATTCTGAGTTGTTTGTTTTTCAATTTTCATTATAAATTACATCACTTTGTATGTTTTATGAAAATGAAAAGTGTTGGCCTATATTTTTGATTGAATTTTCCAAATCTTTTGTCGGTTTCCAGTAGCTGCCGGCTATTCGCTTATTTCACATAATGATCGATGATCAAGCTTTAAGTTTTCTTTCTGTTGCAGTTGAATAAAAAACTTAAAGGGTAAGAAAAAGTTGTGGGAAATAATGGAATTAATGAATTTTATAAATATCGAGTATTATTGCTGAATACATCAGTAGGTCCAGGGTTAAACATGTACTGCTGCTGTTAACATAGTTTCGACATATAAAAAAGAAAGAAAAAGTAAGCTTAGTTGGAAGGCGCTCTTATCGGTGTTGACAAATGGGTTGCTAGGCAAAAATTTCCTCTTACAATGATGGCGCAGTTGCTTTTTCATAGCATTTGTCCTTTTTTAATTGCATCATATGGTTGTTTTGTCATAGTCATGTCAGATGTTCTTGGGTTTGTATCTGAAATTGTTTATTTTTTCTCTTCATGAATGTTAATGTACAAGAAAAAGATGTTCTAGCGAGACCTGTTTTAAAGCTGATTTTAATACTAATAGATTGGAGAAATATGATCGGAGTCGATCAAATTAATTGCGAATATATTAGGAATTCAAAATGAAATATATTTCAAATTAATGCTTGTCAAATGCTCAAAACCCTTTTTCCAAGGATTGATATTGGCCATACCTAACAACATATTTTCAATGTAGCTACCGGGAAATTCTGATCACGGAAGATTAGTATGGCACGAGTAAAATATTGTGTTAAAGTAAATTTTTTTGAAGAAAAGATCAAGATACAAAAAAAACCGAGACGGGAAAAGAAGATTCCGGCAGGAATGCTACATCGGCGGGAGTATCTGTGCCCGGCACAACTAATCAAGCAGAAAATGATAATTCGGGTGTTCTGTCTTCGACAGTTAAAAATCAGAACATCCAGAATTTATCGACAGATGCTATGCCAATTTCGAAAAGAGTAGTTCCAAGAAAAGATTACAAGCTAATCCAGAAAGTGGAGGAAAAAGTAGTGCAAGAAAAAAGTATACGAACTGGAAGTCCTAGGCGCCGAAGGTAGGTTTTTTGTCTTTTTACAAATTTATAAAAATTCATAACTGTAAATTACAGGAAAAAAATGGAGGAGTGATTTTTAAAAATTTAGTGAACGACCGTTGCAATTCAAACTGAAAATGCAGAATATAGCAAAGAGTCACGAGGTGGAACGTACTTCTTTCACTTGTTTTAGGGCGACATTGTTACATTTTGTTCCAATAAAGGATTTACCGGATGTTGCTCGTGTACAACTACTGCTTAGCAACATTAGTGAACGACCGTTGCAGTTCAAACTGAAAAGTGAACCGGGTCCAGATATCTCTGTACTACTTATTTGTGCAAAAAGTTTGGATAAACAGTATTAATCTAAGAATTTCTGTGTATTAATCTTGCACTGGTCCTCACCCAATTTTTTTATCTAAGAATATGACATTTAGGAGAAGTTGAACTCTTATAAAATTTGTGGATGGTTTTTATCAGCAAATTCATTTTCACACTTTTAGGCACTGCCAAGCGCAAGAGGTCATATTAATGCGCATGGCTCAACGAAATGTATCTTAACATGGCGTCGTGAGGCAAATGTCGAAAAATGGTCAGATGCACAGCAGCCAAAAATGCTTCTTGTTCTGGATTTTCTCCGTGATAAGACGAAAAATGAAAAACACACTCTGACAAGACTTATTGGTAATTGCCTATTCGTCCTTTATATTGGTAAATTTTCCAGTTCTTCTTATACGTTATCATATTTCAGCCCTTGTTATTTTTGATATCCTTTTTAGGTAAGGTTGTATCCGGTCAAACTTGCGATTCAGATAGACCACCCATCGAACAGCTTATGCTCGATGCAACTACTAATGAATCTTCTCGATCGATGTCAAAGTTCTTCTTTACATTGTTGATAAGAGAATAGAAGAATGAGAATGAAATATCCTGCAAATATAATTGAGAATGAAATATAATTCAGAGCTAGAATATCCCACCAAACGTCGCAGTATTATATAGGCAAGATTTAGAAGTAACAACCACATTTGCATTTTCTTAATATATTTGTTTTCATAAAGTCACATAAACATCATATAATTAGTAATAATGCATATTCAGTAAGCTAAGCAAAACAACTTTTTTTTCTTTTTTAAATACACAGTAAAATTTTAGGGATTCCTTACTACTCGACCAAGCACATATTCCTAGAAATGAAATAGAAGAGAAGAATAAAGCGAAATCGGAAGGTATAGTGAATAGTATTGCAGATTGGTTCAATCAACAGTCAAAAGATTCTCTACTTGGATTGCTTTTTTTGATGATCTTCTTCTTTTTTCTGGGGACGATAAGTAATTCCAAGCAAAAACAGCATGACTAGTCGGAATTTGATCTCTGTATGCTGTAGTTTTCAGTTAATTTTGATTCCCATTAATTTAAAATTTGTGGAAAGAGTTTGGAATCTATACATTTTCAATGTTTGCCTAATATTTGATCCCTTATTTCTAATTGTTATTAATATTAATTTTACTAGTGCAGCTGTGTTACATAAAATTTGCGGAGCATAATTGGAATGAAATAAAGAATATTTAAAAAAATTATTGTTTCTCATGAAAATGGAAATCGGTTGCCTAAGATTATCGATGCATTATATTATACCTAGATGTGACCTATAAAGGGATGTAACCTGTTTCATATTTCATTTGGCTTTAATTCCTTTTTGCTGTGTTCCAGTTAGTACTTCGAATTTTAGAAATTACAAAGGTGATTATCATTAGTCATCCTCTCATCGAATATAATGCGTAGTATTGTGTAACTGTATTGTTTGCTTTATTACTGCAATAGTATTTGCTTCATATATTCTGAGGGTTTGCCTAAAATTTTGAGCATATTATTCTGAGATAGTACGAAATCTTTATTTATTCATTTGCAGTTGTTAGTTGTAATAGGCTAGTTGTATCAATATAGTTATTTTATGTTATTTGAACCTAATTTAAAGGGTGGATTTTTCTTTAACTTAAAGTCAGTTTACCTGTTCGTGTGATTTGAATTAAGGATTTGATATTTTTATCCGTTTAACTTTACACCGATACTGTATCTCGGTTTTGTGGTGAAGGAGCTCTGCGTCTTCCATCTAGTATCTGATACATCACGTAATTTTCAGGCTTTTTTTTTACGGTAATTTCCACGTTATGATATGGAGAAAGGGGTTGAAATATGCCCTCATCCTAATAGTAACAGTAATTCGGTGGAAGTATTGGATGAAGCTATCTTAACACTGAAACGCTGTTTAACTCTAACAAATGAATCTAGTTCTGGTAAATGCGTGGAAGAAATTGATGAAATCAAAAATGAACGAATTGAGGGAGAAGAGGCGAGTTATAATTTTAGGTATTTTTCGAATAACATATGAAGTTTAATTACACATCCTAATGCATCTTGTGATTTTCCCGCAATGTAGAATAGATCTTTGTTAATAATTTAAAAACTTACCTTATGATGGTGCATTCCTGTTCTACGATTATTTTTTGAACAGATTATTTGTTTACTGTTTTTTATTTACTAACATTTCCAGATCGATACGGAACAGGTCGATGAGATAAGCAGTACTCAGGTGACGCAATGCACAATGGAAGATTGCACACAGAATGGATCAGTTGCAGAAGCGGAAAGTCAAACAGTAGTATCCAGTATAAAAATAAGACGTATTCACATAGTTGAATATGAGAATGAATATCAGATGGCCGATATTATGCGACTTATTACGAAAGTACTTAGCGAACCTTATTCTATTTATACTTATCGCTATTTCATACATAATTGGCCAAAGTTATGCCTATTGGTAAGTCTTATGTGAAAAATTATTGTTTAGAAAAAATGTTTGATATGTATTTATTGATTTTCATGACTATTTCTGAAGATTATTTACTAAAATATGTACATGTGTACAGATATGCTTTACAATTTACAATTTTGCAGTATTCACTTTTTGTCTTCACCGTGTCTTTCATATAACTGATATGATTAATATCTTATAGAATAGTACTACTTGTAATCGGCATAAAAATCAGTTCATTATTAATGTTAGACATATCATTTTCTGGATATTTTCTAAATTCTTCCAAAAAAAAAATATTGAGATTTATAAATAATTTCATTTTAGCACGAATTTTATTGAAATAATTTAGGCATTAGATGAGAACGATGACAAATATGTTGGTGCAATTGTCTGTAAATTGGATTTGAGTCGAGAAAATCGTCGTCGTGGGTATATTGCAATGCTTGCAGTCGACGAGTCATGTCGAAAAATGGGTATAGGTAAGTGAAAATAATAAGTTCTATTCTATCTCTTCTTAAAAGCATCTTGTTTACTTCTGTTGCAAAATTTACATTTTCAGGTACTCGTTTGGTGCAGAAAGCTATATCAAATATGCAAGAAATGGGCTGCGACCAAGTGATTATTTACATTTATTAACGTTTCCTTTGTTGTTATTAATATTTAATTGCTTTAAGCTTATCGTTTCTTTCTAACCAATATTGACTATTGTGTCATAGGCAAATAACAGCATTTCTTCATGTTTATGCTTGTTTCA